TAAACTCTTATTAGTTGTCTGCTTCTAGTATCTTGTAATCAATGAAGGAGTGACGATTATGGGGTTAATGTATTGTAGTTACACATTTATTTATAACACTTATCATAATAAATTAAGGGTAATGATTTCCCCACTCCAATTTTATCCACTTACACTCCTTTTTTAGTTATAAAATGGAGTGTAAGTGGATAAAATTGGAGTGGGGAAATCACCACTCTTAATTAATAGTAATTGTATGTCTCTGCCTTCCGAATACTTCAGTTGAAAGTTTTTAATTCTTAGACAATGTAGACACAAACTAAAGTATTTGCCCCTATCCTCTAGAGACACTTTCAAGCTCATAAATAAATACTGCTGACTATTTGCAACCATATCTGTCCATAAGCTTAACAGATAACCGAAATTTGGAACTGCATTACCTGGGTTTGTTCCAGCAAAAATGCCATACCAAAGATCATCTGTGATAAAAGATGTCGCCCTCTCCACAGCGCCAAGATACACCCCAGGTCCAAGGCTTGGTGGCAAAGGATGGAACATTTTCTGGTTTGGATAGTCCAAATCAACTGCCACATGCCGATTTGTGAGAAAACCAACCTGTCGATTTCCTGTTCGGCTTTTAACAATAGCACCCAGAGTTCCATAAGTCTCCTGGCTAGCAACCTAAACAAGCAAAAAACAATTAGGTAAACTTAACTAGTTGAGACACAAAGAAATCAATGTATATACAGATCCCATCAATAAATTTGACGTTTAGGGTTTCCTACTATTCCTAAAAGCCTAAAGTGTTGGGATGTAGGCCAACTATTGTTTCTATACTCTAATAATCCCCCTCATGTTGGGCTTTTCCCTAGCACTAGAGAAATCAACACATAAAAATAAACATAAATTGAGAGGTTGCAGCGGCATGGATATGAACTCAAGATCTCTCGCTCTAATACTCTGATATGTTTCATCAGTTTACCATTGTTCCCAATTCAGCTCCTTGAAGTAGATAGGCATATAAGGCGAATTAAAATTCATGTTTATTATTTATTTTGTTAAGTTCAACGAGCAAATTTACTAGCCAAACAAGACCTATCCAAATTTTAAATAAAACTGATTCTGTTTAATACCAAATCCAGCATACCAAAGCATATTTTTAGCTTGTATTCTTATTGTTAGTTGACAAGCTTATCCATGAGAAGATCCAGCCCTAAAGCAACTCATACTATTAAGTAATTAAGAATATGAACCAAACCCGAGTGAAAAAATGATAACTTTATCATTATCTCATACTTGAATAGTTTTTTATTGGAGTGGTAAAGACCTCAGTAGCACCTAGGCTACGTTCTAGTCTCCATATGGGTATTTTCTATCTATATTACTTATCCGCAGCCCAAACTTGGAGATTAAACACCAAATTACCACCACCACAGAAAACAAACAGGACAGCAATTTTCTTAAGAAAATACCTGGGAACCAGAACCAATGCATGGATCACTTCCCCGCAAGCCATCTGCGAGCTCTGTATACAGCTGTTCTTTTGGAGTTGGAGCCGGGGAACCATAATAGGAAAATTCTACAACATCCACATCACACCACACACCTCCTGGCCCCTGCACCATTTTTTATATGCAGAAACCAAACAAAACAATAACCTAGTCAAAGATCAAAATAACCAATTAGCTTTTTTTTAATTTTATTTTAAATAACTTACAAGTTTTTAACAAGCCAGTAGTTTATACATTCTCAACGGCTTTTACAAAATTGCATTATTTCAACCAACAGAAAAATACACAAAGCTCATCATTCCGACCAGCCTCGTGATTGAAAGAAAATAACTTAAAACGAACCTCAATAATAATATACAATGGCACAGATAATATAAAATCTAAAAATCAGAATGTAGAAAAAGGACACCAAAATTTCCACCTCAAGGGCAGCAGGTAGACACTGCACATGGCTTAGCCATTGCCTGTGAGCTTTACGGGCAACAAAGACAAGAATGGCTGGAATGTCTGTTAAGACGCCTTTTCGAATCCGAAACCCAATTGCGGTCCCAAGACTAAACCGGCGCAAGATCTTGCTATGGAATGCCCTAATGGTCATCAGCTCAAGTAAGGTTGTAGCCTGCTGCCCTGATGGCAACCGGCCCAAAGTTTCAGGGAGAACGTCCTTCTGAAGATTTCCAAAATAGTTTGCTCTATCTTCTGCTGCATCATTTAACCGACTCAAAGTGGGCCACGAGAAGTAGGCGGCATTGCTCTCAGAGAGCTGACCACTAGATGCAAAAGGCTGGAGGGCCAATGGACTTGATGAAGGAAGATTAGGATGATGACTGCAGTAATTTCTTTCCAAGTCTAAAGCAGACTCCTCAGACTGTGCTGATCCAAAGTGATGAAACCTTAAATCTAATCTGGTCCTGTCCATCTTCCAGCTCTCCTACGTGATATAAATACATCTCTCAGGAGATCCATATTTATGGTTAAGAAGTACAAAATCCTAAAATATAACCTACAAATTCATTCTTCTTCTTGTTCAGCCTTTAAAAATAACTTAACTTAAAGGAGTTTAGACTTAAAAACACAGAAGCACTGCATTACAAAACAAATTTGAAAAGAACCAAAAAGGTAGACAAGAAGGGCAGAAAGAAATAAAGAACGGGCAACAAGGAAAAGATAAAATTAATCTAATCTGAAATGAACTCCTAAGAGGTGCAGAAAAAATATAGACTACAATAAATTAAAATTTAAAGGTGGAATGTTGAATATTAACAAGAGGACAAGCTCTTTTGGCACAGATTGTATATAGAGAGCACAGGAGCTCTCTAACTTCTTGTCTCAGAGGAGACACTAACATAAGCTGTCATTTAACCAAAAATTTCATTTTGGATACATTTAATCATGCCAAGCATACGAAAGAGCTATGAAATTCAATCTTTGGCCTCCATCAAGTTTGAAAATGCATCCAGAAAACTAAAAAACAAGCATTTTATAAATATTAGCTGCTCCTCTGTTACAAAGCTCAAGAAGGCTTGCAAACTCTTCAAAATGTATCTGGGGAAATGAATCCCACAGTAAAGATTGGAACTTCAAGAAAATTCATGGATGCACGACAAGAAATAACACAAAAATTAAAGCAAAAAAGGGAAAATGAGAGATAAGACTGAACCCAGAAAGCACAACGCCCCAAATTCATGAAATAGGTAGACGTAAAATGAGCAAATGGTCCTAGATTGTTAGGATTGTTCATAATGAGGGAAGAGACTGAACCCGGAAAGCACAACACCCCAAATTCACACTTTGCGCAGAACCCAGATAGAATTTATGAACACCAAAAATATGAACAAAGTTAAAGGAATAACTCAGAGAGAACTCACTGATCACTAATGGTGGAGCTGTGGAGGGCTCAAAGCAAAGCCCCTTGAAGACTTTCATGCCCTAGTAAAGATTTTCCCGCAAACCCATCATCTAAAAGATGAAGATTGTGTGCTACAATCACTTCATCATAGAATCTAATTACCATCCAGCACAAAGATTAGTATTGTATGTGTGCAAAGAGAAAAAGTGACAAGAGTGAGGAAAAGAACATCTATATTTAGAAAGAGAGCTTTAAAGTTTAGAGAATGAGAAGGTTATACTTTCCATGCTACTTTGGAGAGAAAGACCATATAATATCTAGTATCTGGTATTTGTTTTATAAAAATACAAAGAACCATTTAGGAGTATTTGTTTATACCACCCTTTTTTCCTTTTTTTTTTTTTTTTTCCTTTTTCTTTGCCCTTTTTGCACCTCATCACATTTCTTGGTGGGAAGTTTTAATGGAGGAGAGATTGGCAGAGAGCAAATTGATTTTCTTGGATGCCATTGATATTTTAATTTGGTGGTGGGGAATAGGGTCCCATCCATATTTGCTCCCCAAAAGTAGCACACTCTTCATCCTAATAATTCAATTCCCATCTAGCTATAGGGTTAGAGTGACCAAATTTTCTTTTTTCATTTTGGTGGTGTTCTTGCATTCTCTTCAGAAATTGTAATATAGATCCTTGCTTAATTCATTTGGGTTTAAATGTTTTTAAGCTATAGTTAATCAAATGTTTGATAGAAAATTAGACATACACTAGGGAATGATTAGATGTGGGGTATGAGGGAGAGAGTTGGAGACAAACACTTGTGTCCCTCTAATATAATTATAACTTCTCTGCCTTAATGGGTTTTATCTTAATAGTGAAATTTCTCAGAGCTCTCTCTCTCTCTCTTACATCATGTGGTACTGCCATTATTCTTCTTTGCAAAGGCTATCTAGTAGACCTTGCTAAAGAAAATTGTCTTTCTAGAAGTTAGACTCTCTCTCTCTCTCTCTCTCTCTCCCCATCCAATCAGATATCCCTTGCATTATCTTCAACTTTTAGCTCACACATTATCTTCTTCATTCATCTTCTAATTATCATACAATGATAATAATTATCAGTCTCCTCTCATTAAACTATCCACACAAATTGAGATTGCTTATACTAACAATAGTACTTCCAATATAAGTGATAGTGATACAAACTGATGTATTAATTCTATAACATTTCAGACTTATAGATGAACAAGCTAACAAGCCAGCAATCACTTTTAGCCTGCCAAGACTATTTGCTTGGGACCCTTTATAATTGGAAGATTGCAACTTTGGATATGTAAGCTTTTTTGTCATGTATATATTTGTAGTCTACAATTGACAAGGATAAATTTGCCCAGCTAGCTCAAGCATGAGACTGTTTATGAGAGAAGAATCAAAAGACTCCAACAAGGAAATTTCAACAATGCAATTATTGGATCACTGTCCACAATATGGGTTCCACCACAATGATCTTGTTCTTTTAAAAAGGAATTTTGATTTTGTAGGAGCACTCACACAAGTGTCCTTGAGTCCTTCACTCTAAATTTTTCTTTTTTCTTCCCCCCAACCTTTTTTTTTTTTTTTTGTCTTTTGTTTTTGCATAATAGGCCCATTTCCTGTTTCAAAAAGTGACTCAACTCTTAAAAAAACTAAATAGAAAAAAGACAAAACAAAAATAAAAACAGGCTGCAGCTTCAAATCTTGCCCGAGTGGATTGAAGAAGCAGATCCCACGAGAGATAAGAAAAGGTGCTCTGACAATTCTATTTCTTCCCTTGGCATTAGGCCTCTGCATGGGACATAATTTGTGAGTAAAGCTTCCTCAAAAGCCTACTTCTTTTTTTGTGTCTTTGTTCAAAAGAGGCCTAAAGTAAAAAGAATGTCGAGAACGAGACTCACATTGCGAATGTAAGGGTAAATGCTCTACCAGTGAAGCTATAAATCCCGCAAAGTAGAAAAGCTTTACATCTCTACCATCCTCCAACTTACATGCCTAAAACCTAATTTATATCAAATTTTAATTATTATTATTTTTTGTTGGGGAAAATCAATAACATGCTTTGATATGCAGTTTGGGTCTGATTTTCTTTTTGGGTGAACATTGGTACTATATATGATAATGGCGGCCCATAAGATAGCCCACCAGGCCAAGTGACGAGCTAAGCCCACAACAAAATTCACACATCAAAGCGCGAATTTCGCACCGCAAACCGCAGCTCAAAAAGCTGCAGAGCAGAGGAGAAGACGAACGAAAAAACGGACGATGTCTGAAGAGAAGCAACCGGCGATGACGAAATGCGATCGGCTGCAAAGCGCTTTGATGGATTGCCACAGGCGGATTGGGCCGGGTCTGGCTCGCGAGGCGGCGTGCCGGCACTTGAACCGGGGTTTGGCGGAGTGCCTGGTGTCGGTGGCGTGCCCGGAGGAGTGGGAAGCGGTTCGGAGCCTGTGCGGTAGTGGAGGAACGAGTCTGAAGCGGTCGCAGTGCCAAGAGGCTCAGCTCTCGCTCTCAGTCTGCCTCTCCTCTCACCAACACCAGCCAAATACAGAATAGAAGATATATATATATATTTTTTTTAACTTTTTATTTTGTTAATAATTAGGATGCATAATACAAAAATGTAATTTTGATGGATGACGCTTTTATTTTCATTTTGTGATTGGTTCATTGGATTAAGCTCACACAGTATATCAAAGTTCGTGTTAATACAACGTTTTGAATAAACAAGGTTACACGTAAATGTTCATTGCCTTGTAATAATAAAGTGGTTAAATGAATTTCTATTTGGCCTAAATTTTGCAGAAATGACTTTTGAATGATTTCGGAGTGAAATCGCACTGTGGAGTAGGCAACAACATAAAATTAATGCCATATTAACTTTCTAACCGATTAGCACTTCGCGTAAAATCTGATAACGCACTCCTTAAGATTGGCAATCAAGAGTTTAACATAATGGCACAAGACAGATGGTCCGACAAACGAGCTTTACAAATAGATGAAAACACACAACCTCAGCCCACAAATGAAAATGATATCTGTATGTAGTTTATACAAAACTTAGGTAGAAAACTTGTCTCTGTCGTGAGGAGAAGAAAAGTCGATATCTGGTCCGCTGGGAATTATGCCAAATGGATTGATGGAGGGATGGCTTCCATAATAGTGTCGTTTTATGTGATCTATGTTGACGGTGCTGCTCATCCCAGGAACTTGGAAAATTTCTTTGGTGTAGTTAAACAAATTTGGGTACTCTCGTAGTAATTTCTTGTTGCACTTGAAGTGCACTGCATAAACCTGTAATCAATAACAAAAACAACATAAAAAATTGAATTGTTTAGACAGTGGAACCATGTGATGTGACATAAGTTTCATGCTAAAAAAAGCCTAACCGAAAAAAACAAGATGTTAGCTAAGCAAAAATATCACGTTACGGAATCTTGACAAAATAAAATACAACCTATAAGTGAGTGGTTCCGTTATTAATAAGAAATCACAATGAGCTAAAGAAAATCCCAATCCAAGGGAAAAGAAAAGTTTTTGAAGAATGAAGAAGTAATATCCTAATGAAAAATCTGATATGCTTTGGATTTGGTTAGAAACAAAATCTTGCATTTCTAGCATGGTTCTTGGTTCTCTTCAAACAGAACAATCATATTAGACTGAAAATAATTAAATTGGCAAAATTTCTGACAGGCATAAATTCTTGATTGAGGGGAAATATCAGTACCTCATCAAATCTTATAATAGTGACAAACAACCGAATATCTGCTTCAGACAATGTGTTCCCACACAAGTATCGTTGCTTGCTCAGTATCTCCTCGCATTTGTCTAAAGCTTCGTACAACTGTTTCACAGCCTGAAGCAAAAAATATCAACCAACGTGTTTGATGAGGCACAGATAGTCCTTAAAGAGAACATAAACTCCAGAACTTCCATAGTCAAAACTAATCAGAGCATGCAAAATATACCTCATCATAAGGCTCTTGCTTCCTTGCAAACCCACATTTATAGACGCCATTATTTATCTTGTTATATATCCATTCATTAGTCTGATCAATTTGGGATTGCAAGTGAGGAGGATACAAGTCCAAAGCTGCGTTTTCTGCCATATCGTTGAATTCGGTATTGAACATGCGAATAATCTCTGCACTCTCGTTACTGACAATTGTTTTGAGTCTTTTATCCCATAGAACCTACCAAAGCGAAAAGGTCAGTCATTTGGTTTAACAAAAGCAAAAGGAAAAGAAAGATAAAACATGAAAAGGCCACTTAATATGAGTGAACATACTGGAACTGTGTACTTTCCAGTATAGTTGGTGCTTGCAAGCTCATAAAGTTCTCTAATACTTTTTGCTCCATTCAAAGGGTCAGGTTCAGCTCCTGCTAGCTCTGTATCAGAAGCAGGAAAAACCCACCCCATATGCTCATCACTTTCTTTTGTTCTTTCCCATATGGGTTTGACTGACTGAGCAAAACAACAAACACACAAGGTCAGTTTGGCTCTAACAAGGTGAATCTAATATGTGAAACAACCTAATAGAGTTACCGTAAAGCTGATGGCTTTCTCAAGTCCTTTAATTTTCAAGTATGCAAGGCACCTGGAAGCCCAAGGGCAAGCATATGATATATACAGATGATATCTTCCAGGTTCCGCTGGGAACTGCGAATTTGGGTCCCGTGAAATGAAGTTACGGAATACAGAAGCAGTTCTCACAAATGCACCAGATAGTGAGGTCTCATCTAATGCAGATCGAGCCATTTGATAGTCTGCTGAAGAATCAACAAATGCAACAATTAGTTTTATTCCCTATATTTGATCAATTATATATGACCTCAAGGATATTTCATCCAATGGTTCTAAGAGACTAAAAAAGTACAAAACATTTCCACCCTTTGTGTATATTTCATCCAATACTGAACAAACAGGGGATCAAATTCCCAATCAAAGGCCGGTTGAATGGATTGAAAGGAAATCTATTTAATGCAAGTTATAACATTTTCTTCAATTCAGCTAGAACTAAATATAACTAGAAAATCAAATCTTGATTAAAAATTTAGAACTGAAAGGAAATTTTCAAGCTGACTAATGGACCGTTGCATGAGTCTAAAGCCAGGCTTTGTTATCTGGGTAGTTTAACGGATAATCTATTTAACAATTCTTAGTTTCTTACCCACTGGATTATTGTTTTTGAAAATTCTCCAACCAACCAAATTCATTGTTTTCCACTGTACAGATAGTTCAACAATTCACAATAACCAAATAAATCAAATTAAGAAAAGCACCAGACAAACAATTATAACAATAGAAATCCAGCTGAAGCAAAAGCAACACAATAACAAAATGAAAATTTTCAAACGAAATTCAGTAGCTTTCTTGCCATTCAGAATTGGAAAAATGAGGAACAGCGAAAACTATTAAAAATAAGTTTACCTTCAAGGGGATCTGAGGGAGAGACTGGGGGAAGAGAGTAAATGAGATGTTGTGGAGGTCCGACCCAGGGATACAAATACTCTTTTCTTCTTCTTCTTTTTTCTTTTTAAATATTGAAAGTGGTACAAATAGTCTAAACAGACAGATAATCAATTACGTCATTTTGACACTCATCCTGTTCTTTTTGTTTGTAAATGGTAGGATCACACGTGCATTGCACGTGGGCCTCCGCCACATGCGGAATTCCTTCAAGCAATTTATTTGATTACAAGGGATATAGAGTAAAGAAAATATAACCCTACTCCAACTTAACTCATCAAGAGATATCCAACAAGATTGCATGGCAGAAATATCCCCCCACTTCAATTACAGTGGAATATTAACTGTTATGAAATTGCAGTTTTGAGTTACAACAAAGCTCCTCAAAGCACAAAAAGAATCACTGGCTTAGCGTGCTGGTTGCTCACCAATGAAAGGTACATAAAGACTCGAGCCCTTTTGAAGACAGTCATGGCACCTGCTGCACAAGTTCAAGACCAGCAAATTATGTGAGCCATTTTTCAGTATATTGCAGCTGCTAGCCAATTCCTTTAGAGATCCTCTCAGTCAAATCCGAAACAAGAGCATACTTGTTGCTCTCATAGCATGCAGTCTTAAACGCCGCCAATGTCACACGATCCACATTCTGATCCTTGTCCACTAATTTATGAAAGAACAACGCCCCGATGCCCACTTTCTTCTCGCTACAAAGCTTCCTCACCAATGTATTCACCGTGCGGATCCAGAGCTTCTTCTCTAGCCTTTCCAATAAAACCATAGCAGCTGCAGAGTCATCTTTTTTGCAGTACTTGTAAGCTAATGTCAACCTAGTAACTTCACAGGGCGACAGCCCTTTGTCCATCATGGTATCATATAACCTACGAGCCTCGTCCAATTTCTCCTCCTTGCAGAGCCCGCTTATTAGAGCACCATACGTAAAACTATCTGGGGCACAACCATGGTCACCCATCCTATGGAAAAACTTAACAGCCAAGGCAATATTTTCATCCCGACAGTAGCCGCATATCATTGAAGTATAGGTTTCCTTGGTGGGGATCAAACCAAGCCTTAAAGATAACTCAAAAAATTTCTCGCTTTCTTTCATTTTCTTTTGCCTACAGAAGGCAGCAATCAAAGTGGTATATGAATGCATATCAGGCTGCAAACCGACCTTGAGCATCTTGTTAAAAAACACCAAGGCCCCGTTAATATCACCCCTTTTGCAGTGCTCAGATATGAAAATAGTATACGTGACCCTGTCAGCTTCCAATCCTCGGCGAAAGCCCTTCTTAATCAATTTATATGCCTCTTGAACCCTCCCCTTTTTACAGAGGCTGTCAAAAACTGCATTGTATGTACAGATATTAGGAGTGAATCCTTCTTTTCCCATTATATCCATCAATTCATATGCTCTATCAAAATTCCCAGCTTTGCAATGCCCAGAAACGAGAGTAGTATACGTATTGGTGTTAGGAACTAATCCTTGTTCTTTCATTCTGCTCAATAACATCTCTGCACGGCTCATTTTGTCTTCTTCGCAATATCCACGGATCATGGCAGTATATGTATGTACATTTGGCTTGTAATTATCGCTCCGGACAAGCTTAAGAAACAGCCTGAATGCCCTTTCAGTCCAACCTTTCTTGCAGAGCCCATCAATCAAAGCTGTATGTGTATACACATTAGGCTTCCAACCTTTCCTAACCATTTCCTCCAACATTTCAAATGCTTGTTTAATGCTGCCCCTCTGGCACAACCCATGAATCAAAGATGTGAAATTAATCAAATTTGGCTTCACACCCATCCGAATCATCTTATCAAAGCACCAAGACGCTCGACTTACAAGACTCTTTTCGCAAAACAGACTTGTAATCAAAGTAAACGTAGCATTATCCAAAACAAAGCCTCTCTCAAGCATCTTACTCAACCACCTATCCACCTCCAAAACTCTGCTGCTCCTACAATACCCAACAACCATAGACTTATAGCTCAAAGAATCAGGCGACACCCCTCTCACACACATTTCCTCAAACAAATTCTCTGCATACTCAACCAAACCCAAGTCACAGGCAATCCCAAGAACACAATTCAACGTCCGAGTACTCAACATAAGGCCTTGGTTTTGCATCTCAAAGACCATATCGGCAGCCTCCTTCAATCTCTCAATCTCAGCAAAATTCCTCACCATACAATGAACCACTTCATGGGCTCTCTCCAAATTACCATTCCCAAATAAAGACATTGCACAAAATATATAAAGCCGCATAAAATACCGAAATTTGGGAAACCCAATTGCCCAATAGAAGAAACTCAAGGCTACCATGGAACCAGCCTCTTCAGCCAGTGAAGCAACAACAGAAATAGCCTGTTCATGAGTCAAAGAATCAACATTTAAGTCAAGGTTGAGCTTGGGAGGTGATGATCTCGGATGGGTTTGTGGGGAATAGGACTGACATACCAATGCACAGATTGTTCTGACAAGAGACTGAGATTGGGAAGAGCTGGAGCTGGAGGTGGTGGTGGTGATGGTAGTTGTGGAGTATGGGTCATCATAGTGAGTGTAGGAAGAGACTGTTCTGAGAGAGAAGAGGGTGTAGAAGAGAGAAATGGGGTTTGAAGTAGGCGATAATAGCTTCCGTTGGAGTTCATGACTTCTTCTGAGAATTCGAAGAGAAACCATGAAAGTAAAAGAGGCTCACAGAGGCTTCTCAGTCAGGTCGACTGGTCTCCACTGTATCGTACCTTGGCTTCAAGAACTTTATTTTTCCGATTCATATTTGGGTTGTTTAATGTTTTAGAGCAAAATGGGCCGGCCCAGGCCAAATTATAAATATAGGGCTTTTTTCGTTTCTTGGGTTACAGAATCTGCAGCACATAAGGGGTTTTGGCAGCACGACGTTTTATGAACATATTTCTAGCAATTAAACTTTCTTCTATTTTATGGCTGCAATTGATTGTTAGGATTTTATGAATCTCATGTTATTAGTGTAGTATTGTTTTACCATTCACTGTGCTTAGAAGTTAGATCATTACTCTAATTGTTATATAATATGTGATTTACATTTAATAAGTTGAACGCGTTGCGTTAGACACTAATACATATCACGTGAAAGTTTGTAAAATACTGGAGTTCTCATATTTTTATTCATATAAGATGAAGTGTGAACATGTGGACGCATTACCACTACTGCAAGTAGTAGGTTTCCATACATCTTCATACAAAAGAGGTATGAATGCGAATGCGATGAACCATATAAGCTATCAAGTCTATGGGATTTTTCATTTGAGGTCAATATATATTTTTGAAATTAGAGTTAAGTTATTGCTCCTACCTTAGAGTTAGAGTTAGTGCCTGGCCAGGTGGCAAATAGGGTATTGATCTAAGTTGAAGATAAATTATCCATTTGACTAATTTGCGAGAGATACTGAATCCTAATCTAATTTGTCATAGTTGGTCAAGATAGTTTGTTTGTCTTCTTACACTCAAGTTCAGTCATATTTCATGTGATTAAAGTAGTTTAGATTCTCACTTATATAAAAGAGGTTTATTGTTATGTAAACCCAGCAGGTGCAAGTTAGATTCTTGTGGAAGAAAAGGGATGACAATTCGAACCTAAAGTCACACACAAAAACTCACCAAAAAAAGAAGAAGTTGGTTTTGTTGTATTAATATAGACTAAATACAGATACCTAAATCACTTGATGCATTGATTCAGCTTATTTTGCATGTGAACTTCGAAAATCTGCAAGGTACACTGCACCTTTCATTAACAATTTGCTGAACTGATTCCAAGATCCTTATAACACCATTTCTAGAGATACTGATAAAGACAACAACAACAACATTAAAACAAAAAAACAACTCAGCACAAGTCCATTGTAATGATTCTCTTTGGGTGCACTTAAGTTTTCTCTGTTATTTCACTTATCATATTTCACTACAATCCTCTGTGATGCCCTTCTTTCAACCTTCTATTCCAACAGGCCATTGAAAAAGTGTTGAGGCATGAACTGAGCAACCAGTTGATGCCTCTAACTGCGGTAACTGAAAAAAGCATTGGCCATTTGGCACTCAATTGGAAGACCTTTATGATGATTAGGTAGCAGCAAGCCAGCAATACAGTTCCTTCTTTTAAGCTTTGCCTTTAAAAATCCAATCCATCCCTATTTTCATGGGCTGATGAGAGTTGAATATGCGCTCATCAAACCCATCACATGGAACCCCCCCTCCCCCCGCCACCTTTAATTGATTGCGAGATATTTTTTACTGCGCAGAAAAAAACTACACAAGAACCAACAGTGACATGAACTTTTGATATTTTGAGAGGTCATGTCAAATTGTCAATCCACTTATAAATTAATGAATACAAACCTGCTTGGGTCCGCATCTTTCTTTACCATCAGTTCAAGTTACCTTTTTTATGAGGTCGAGTTAAGTGGAAGAGGATTTAACTTAGAGATTAGTGGTCTTTTGTGACACTTTGATAGTATGTGTATATACATCTGTAAAAAAATCCATGTCTTCCCAATATCGCTTGGATAGATATATTATTTTATGGTTCCACATTTTGCCACTTGACTCTTCCACCATGGAATTTTTGGGAGTAAATTGGCCAAGCAACGCTATGTAATGCATTTGATGCATCAACAATTTAAGTAATGCCAAAATACATAGATTTAGTCAATGATCTTGAAAAGCAATGGGGGTGTAGTCCAAAAGGGGGAAAATTATGGAAAGGCATCACATGCTTGCTTTTACCACAGGGCACACCCATCATTTACTTTTTAACACTTGGTTTTGACCCTGATCATTTTCTTCTTCTTCTTCTTCTTTCTTGTAAAGACCTTTAATCCTAATCACAGGTTGGTGAGTGTTTTAGCTTTTAATAAAGGGAATATTTTACAATATCACAACCATGTTTAGGGCAAACCGTGTGGGACTCTTCTTTCAGGATGATTGGCCATGCATGAAAATCTTGAATAGTTTAAACATAAGAAAATGTTATTTGGGAGGTTTATTCTTCAAATAATATGATTAATCATTGATGATAGCAGAATTATTTTAGTCATTGGAAGTTAATCTGATTGCTTACTATCAGAGTAGTAAGTTTATGAGCAGAAAACATAATATATATTTAGTGTCCGCACGGTAATAATATTCGGAAGTCCACAGAAGAGAATATATATTGCAAACTGCTGAAATATAAACTGAGTATTAAAATGAGTTGAAGTTTGAGAATAACCAAGTTTTCAGCATACAGAGTATTATATTACATGCAAGAACAATAAACTAGCATTTCATTAGCATCTAGGCATTTAAAACTTGAGCAATTCAAGAGAGGTGGCAGAGGAAAAGAGAAGAAAAATCTAAGAAAGAGAGAGAGAATCATAAATTATATAAAAACTTGTGCCATAACAGTTTTGGGGATAAAGAAAACAGTTGCTTGTCTTGTATGATCCCAATCTCCTACCCTAGGAGTAGGATGGAACAATTATACATTGAAAGGTTGGTTAGCATAACACCTTTATTCTAATATGATGATAATAAGAATATTAAAGAGTTCTGTTTTTCATAAAAGAAACAGAAAAAAGAAAGGGGGAAACACAACATAGTTATCATTAAAAAGTAGACAAGGACTTGAAATTATCATGTAAAGATGCAAACCACAAGCAAATTATAAAGAAGAATCTCACCCACCCCATTTACTTTCATTGGTTTCTCTCTATAAGAAGCTCCCTCTGTCTGTCACCACCACCCACAAACACACAAGACCATTCAAAAAGAAAATCAAGATGCAAAAGCTGCATTGCAATTTCTTCTTTCTTGCTTGCTTTGTTTTCTCTGCTACTCTGGCTCATTCATGGAGCCAAAACAGGGAATTCAACCAGGCCAAGAACTATGAGGGGTCTTCTGATCTGGTGGATCTTCAGTACCACATGGGTCCTGTCCTTACTTCTCCCATCAACCTTTACATAATTTGGTATGGCAAATGGAACCCAGCACACCAATCCACAATTAGAGATTTCATCTATTCTCTTTCTTCTCCTGCCCCTTACCCTTCTGTTGCTGATTGGTGGAGCACTGTGAGGCTCTACACTGATCAAACTGGATCAAACATCACCAGAAGCATTGCTCTCTCTGGAGAGTTCTATGACTCTGCCTACTCCCATGGCAACTATCTCAGCCGTTTATCAATGCAATCCATCATAAAATATGCTGTCACTTCACCATATCCAAGAGCTTTACCTCTCAATCCTCACAATGGCCTCTATTTAGTTATGTCCTCTCCTGATGTTAGAGTTCAAGATTTCTGCAGGGCAGTTTGTGGTTTTCACTACTTCACATTTCCAACCATTGTTGGTGTCACTGTTCCTTATGCTTGGGTTGGTAATAGTGGCACTCAGTGTCCAGGGGTGTGTGCTTACCCTTTTGCCTGGCCTAAGTATTCAGGCAAGCCACCGCCAAGCACAAATGGCGGCAACAACATTATGCGTGCACCGAATGGGGATGCCGGTGCTGACGGGATGATCAGCGTGCTAGCTCATGAGCTAGCAGAGGTTTCAAGTAACCCACTTGTGAATGCATGGTATGCAGGTGATGACCCAACTGCACCAACAGAAATTGCAGATTTGTGTATGGGTGTTTATGGGAGTGGTGGGGGTGGAGGGTATGTTGGTGTAGTGTCAAAGGACAAATGGGGAAATGGGTTTAATGTGAATGGGGTGAAAGGAAGGAAGTTCTTGGTGCAGTGGGTATGGAGCCCTGTGAAAAGAAGATGCTTTGGTCCCAATGCCATGGACTAGGAACACTGTACTTAACTAATCAATGCTTAGGCATAATTGCTTATGATCTCTTTCCACCACCTCCTTGCTCTTTATGTTTCTAAAGAGAAAAGGCAGAGAGGGTCACAGTTAGAGGAAGGAGAAACATGTAATCAAATGAATCAAGGTTGGGCCCATGTAATGTTAAAGGGATTGGAATTGCTTGATTTGTTGGGAATTAATGCGGTTTTCATGGAGACTAAAGGGCTTTTATTATGCTTGTTTTGTTCAATCTATAGCTACTTTTTTCTGTGTGCATTATATTGTTGATGTTGTAGAATACAGTACCCATGTAAATGCAGGCAGTATTTTAGCAATTGCAGCAGCATGAATAAATAAGTTTATGTACATTTCTGTAAAAAGGCTGTTTTTGGCTCATCTTTATCTATATCATGGTCAAGACTTTATGACACTCCCCAAAAGCCTCCATTGATGATGGCTCCAGTTCCTGTTCCTTCAGAGAAACTTAACCTCCATTACTTCCCTGGTTCTAAGATTCCTAATTGGCTGTAAGGAAGCTCTATATCAGGGGTGGAAACAATGCAAATGGGTTGTGAAAATGGTGCGCTTGAAGTTGTTGGAAAAGTTGCAGATGGATTGGCGGAAACTGCAAGAATTGTTTCCAGGCCTGACCTACTTGGAGATAGTCAAGTGTCCTGAACTCAGTCTCATCCCATGTGATGAGAATGGTGTGTAGAAAAACGCAGACCGAGTCTCAATCAAAGCTGCTCAAAAGACTCAGATTTCTACTATGCATTTTGCCTCGAAGCCATTTCTCTGTTTTAACAGGTAAAAAATGAAATAGAATAAGAAGAAGAAGAAAAGAATACCTGTGAGCTCTGTTTCTTCAGTTAATTTCTCTCTCTGTTCTTGCATATTGGTCTAAACTTGCCATAATTTATCTGGCACAATATTCTTGCAACCTTCCTTCCACCCTTTCATACCATACCTTCCCACTAACTACCTGGATTGGTTATTATCCAAGTGAGATATTCTGGTAATTAAGGAGCTTGATTTTCTTGAATTTGGTGGAGGCGACAGCGTGAGGTTAGTTTTCTTTCAAGTCAGGAAAAAAAATCTGAAAAAAAACAGGGCCCAGACCAAGGCGATGGGCGAGGTCCAGGCAGTAACAATGAGGATCTTTTGGCATTTTGGTCTCCAATTCTCGTTACACCATTACTGCGTTTGCTCTTGAAGATAACACGCTGTAGCTAAGGCATTTTCTTCGCCTCATATTCCAAGTAATAGCTGCCATGCATAATGTCTTCATTCAATCATTTCCCACCAACAAAACAATCCTCCTGTTTCTGGCAGGAACCATCAAGTATGCTGAGCGCACACGTGGTTTGTATCTTGCAAGCTTGGACAATTTCAAGGAATCCATGCTTAAAAAACTTGACCCTGGACAACTTTTAAATATGAAAGCATCAGCAAGAACACATTGCATCACTGTGCAGAGAGAGCGAGAGAGAGAGAGAGAGAGAATCATGGGAAAATAAATAAAGAATAAGGCATCTTTCTATATTTCCATGTGGACAAGTAACAAATTGTCTCTTTTAATACAGGTGAATGATTTGCCGAACCACTATCTTAAACAAATATAGCATTTTAAACCTTTGATCAGAGATACTCTACACTATGAAGAAGAATGGCATAGACTAATGATTTAACAACAAAAAGCCACCTAAGCAACTCCAACTCTTTTTTCTTTTTAATTTAAAGGAAAAAACCCCTTCTTTTTTTTATTTTTTATCATGAGCATACAAAGAAGATACACAATCACCACAACAACAGGCTTGCGCTTTCATGTCCCCAAACCACTGTCAGATCACCAACGCAGGTCAACACCAATCTGTTAATCATCAGCCAGAAGTGTAATAGCTTGGATGTTATCTAGACCTCCAGTATTGACCAAATAGAGGAATCAAGTGAATTCATAAAACATCAGTGCATCGGATACAAGGATGGTCAATAAGCCTGGTAGCAAGGCTCTCTAGCTCTGGAATGAGAGAAGATGTCAAGCTGTTCCAAAAATGGAATGTCAACGATTCATTTAGAATCTTTCTGAACAGAGCATCTTGTTCAGCTTTTTCAGTCTCTGTTGTCGGTGCAGTGAAATATCTGTTTGAATTCAATTGGGTTAATTCATAAAGGAGGAAAGTGCCATGGGAGATTTGTAAACCAGAAATGACAAACTGCTAAATAAAAGCAAAACATGTTGAAGAGTATTTGATTTTTCCAATGATTACAGAACTCTTTAGCTCACATAGCCTTTGCCCATCCGGCACGTAGTAAGTTAAAAAAACGCTTGAAGAAATTCAGTTTCCCAGCTCACTAACAAAGGCAATTTATCAAGTGCGTGAACAAAAAAAGTCACCCTTAATGCATGTGCATGCTTTGCCCAAACTTGCATGCTATCAGTGAGTGAAAAGACAAATCAAACTTGCGTTCGGTCAAAGCTAACAGTACCATAATCATAACACCTGTTACCTGCCTTCTATAAACTATTGAGCATTAACCATTGATAAAAATAAACTAACTAATCTTAGAACTTCTGACTTTGGCCTACCTTCTATGAAAAAGCAATGGAGCTCTTGACCATTCATGACCGTATGATTCGCTTGTCAGCTAAATAGGAGATCAAGCTAAGAAAGGAACTGTTAATTCAAAGACAACATTGGTGGACAGCATGCCTTCTGAGGTAGCTTTATTAGTTTCAGAATAGTAGCATTGCGTGATTTACTGTACTTGATCTTCTTTAAAGAAACACCCTTGTTAATAGTTTTGCTCTTATGAAAAATAAACTTCCTAATAGTGGTATTTGAGTAAAAATGACACCATAAGAACTCAAAGACAAACTGAAAAGGAAAAAATAGCACACATACTCAAAAAATTATACGAGCAAAATGCACCCACACCTCATGCATCCATATAAGGCATAAAAGGAGTAAGAAATCAGAACGTCAGGGGCGTTCTCCAATGAGGGATGAATGTTGCAGGACAGCTGTGGGATGTGATTGGTGATCTACAGTGAATATCGATTCACTCTCACAGCACACCCTGCAACACTCATCCAGCTTTGGAGAAAATTAACCAGAAGATTACCTTGAGATATTCTGAGGAGTAATTGGGAAAAATATGAAAGAAGGTTGCACTTTCAACTGCAGCTGTCTAACTGATTTATTACGAACACCCAAAAACCTTCGTGCAACTCTTGACAACAGATCAGCCCCATTCCATCTCAAACGAGTATCATCATATGTCATATAAAACTCTTTCAAGCACTCCATTATGAAGGGACTGCATGCAAACGTGAAAAAAATCTCAAATCCAAACTTTTTTCACACAATTTGATATAGTAGTTCAAAATCCTCCCCAACAGTGCCACTCAAAATTATATAAACAAAAAAGTTAATAAATGGAGACATAAATGCCATTAAAAATTGCGAAGTATAACTCAATTTCCTAATTTTAAATGCAAATATCTTCTAACCCTGGACTCTGTTTCTCCAGAGTTTTTTCAATAAAGGTTTTGCAGTTCATCAACAATTTTGAGATGCATAAGATGAATAGTAACTAAATACATATGAACATATAGCCCAGTGCACACACACAAATGTAACTGTATTGTTTACTTAATATCCGCCAAAACCTATAATGTCTCCCCCAAGAACATTAATAGAAAAATTTATTGGCTCAGTGCAATGTGAAAAAGAAATTCTAGAAAGCCATGGCTCCTGCTTATGAATTCCTAAACCAACAGGATAGATGAGGTGAAGGGAAAGCATTACGAGTGAACTCTAGACAATGTACCCATAAAAGCTACTTACTTAACCCAAGAATGCAAAAGAACCTCACCATAAAAATATTTAATATAATTTGTCCAATTCAAAATGATTTTGCCCAATATAGTATTTTAATACCTGTTCCTCTCAAATGCCATAACAGCACCATTCAAAGAACTTGCAGCAAGTTGATCCTCTTTACCAACAGAATTGCGAAGTGAAGATAATGGCTTCAGGACTATGATATCAGAATCAAGGTATATTCCGCCATATCTGGAAATGCAACAGAAAACGAATAACTGAAGTTAGATTGATATTTACCCTCAACAGAAAAATGTTGAAGTTATGTATAGTGTACTATCCTATTCAAGGTAGCCTACACACGCTTACTTGATAATATCAGAAAGGAAGGTAATGGCCATACTGAATTCATGGAAAATAAAAATGTGTTGCGTTAAAATTGAACTTCTCATCTTAACAAAAGTTGCAGTCTTATAAAACTCAACCACCTAAGCAAATACAATATGACATCTCTGTAACTGACTTAAAATTTATTTGTCAAAAAAAAATTTATGGAAGTGGAATGGAGCAAGGGGAATGAAATTTTCCGAATAATTTGGAGGGATGATATCTTGCAGACAAAACATTTCATATTTTCCCTCCACACTCCAAAACAGGGGGAAGAAATCAGTTAATCTCCCTTGTGCGACTATATTTTTAGTATACAGCTTTGTTAAAATAAAAAATTTTAAAACTTTGATTACTCATGCATTCTCTTCAGAAATATGATCAGTAATGCCCACATAAGTTCTAGATCTATGACTATAGATATATTTTTGTGCATGTTTACCAATACTGTACCAAATAAAAAAGTTCACAACAGTCACAAGTGGTGTCAAAAAACTCACTACTCCGTATAAAGATGTCTATGCAACTAAACAAGCTTACTTGTAGAGAGCAGCAAGGCGGACAAGCTCACTGTAATGAGTAGCATAATACTTTGTCTTTCTCCATTCAAACCAGGCAGAAGCAAATACGTGGGTCGGAGTATCCTTTAGTAATTCATCAAGGTTTGGCATTGCAACAGCAACTTTGTAACTATTGAAAAAGAATTACCTCAGTACAAAATGTAGATTAGCATATCAACAAATAAATGTATTAAAATAAGCAAATTTCGAGAAATTACCCGTCCTTTACAAAGTTATCTTTAAAGAAATCAAGCTCAATTGTCTCAGACAACACTAGAACACAGGCATCTCGATGATGGGAGAGTAAACTCTCAAGTCCCCGCTGCTGTCGAACACTATACATCCAAGGCGGAGAATTCCACACCATAAATACCCTCATATTACATTTCCTCTTCCTGAAAAATGTATCTACAAAATCCGAGAATGATAAAAAGGGACTCAAACCGGGATAGTAACCCCATCTCTTGCCATCTGCATATATAACACCTGAAAACTCATCTTTGAAGCCACCCACTTGATCAGAATCACTAATTTGTTCAACAGTGTTCCCAATCTCTTTATCAGTCGCATTACTCATATAGGATAAATTTCTATCTGTATTAGATTTTCCATTTGCACCAGAATTCAAATCCTTACCGGCCTTCCTATCATTCTCATTTTCATCAAGCTCATTTTCATCAAGCTCTGTTCCTTCACCTATTCCACTTACATTCACAACACCATCTCCACTACTACTCCCCTTTTTCCCACCCTCACCGCCATTTTCATAAAGCTTCACTTCTCGGGCCCTCCCTGAAACTCCCAACTGCTTCTTCCCGGTAAATGGGACCTTCTTAAAGTGATTCAACCACCATTTCTGCAACACCTTATCACCCCTAGTCAACCCAGTAACGCCAACCGCATCAGGGTCTTGCAGCATTGGATTGTGCAAAGGGTTCAGCATCTCCAGATTGGACTTAAACATCCTATCCCTCCTCAAAAAGTCGCCTTTTTTATCAAACCACTCTCCCCAGCCTTCTCTCAACGGCGAAACCTTCCTTCCCACCTTCAACAAAAGCGCGTCCTCAATGCCCACAACCTCACTCATCCTCCTCCGCACCTCCATATCCACAGGCACATCATCAGATCCAAACGCGACCTTACTCTTATCCAGTGCACCCAGTCCCGCAGTAAACCCATTGTAATCCTCGTCCCAATCCTCAATTTTACGCTTATTGAAACCCCTCCTAATAACCCCAGTTACATGATCAAATACATACCCAGAAACCTTCGACTGAGAAATGTCGGATTGCGGATCCTCCTCGTCCTCCACTTCCTCGTCTTTAGGTGTCTCTTCTACGACGTCATCGAGCTCGTCGATCTTGTCCTCAGTGGCGATGGAAACGCCGTCGTTCAGCTCGTCAGAGATGAGGGGGTTGGTGAGAGAAACGTCGCCGTATTGAGCATTGGGGTTCTGGTGGCGGTAGTGAAAGTGGTGAGATTCGGAGTGGGAGAGGCGAGTGTAGAGGAGAGAGACGGAGAGGAGGAGGAGGAGGGCGGAGATAACGGCGCAGATGTAAACACCGTAACGGGTTCGGTGGGGCCGTCGCGACCGAATGCTTCTCAGCATTTTGGGTCCGTTTTGGGGTTGCGAGGTTTGGGTGTCATCGGAAGGGGGCAGAGGAGAGGG